TAGTTCAGTCTTAGGCACTGAAGCAGGATTCGGGCTTCGGCATACCAGGCCCCTCTGCAGAAGCAGGCTTGGGGTAGGGGAAGTGTTCCCACTTCTGCTTGTCTGCCAGTCACCTCCGCTCTCTTAAGGAGAACATAGCTCCCAAAGGAGTCTCTCCGGGACTCAGTGTGGGCAACACAGAGAAGCTACCCAAAGACTGCCAGCTCTGGAACGGTATAAAGATCAAATGTGGTCGCCACCTTCCCCCTGCCAGGACTCTATGGGGAAGTGGCTCCCAGCACAATCTGAAATCTTCGGTCTCCTCCCTTCTGCCTGCCTCACCCTGCCACCTTCTGGGCCCTGGCTCTCCTTCAGTTGACGCCAGTCTTTGCTGGATTGCAGGTCACAGAAGGTTCCTGCCAGCTCTTGTCCTGAATGCATCTCTCCACACCGTAAACAACTGGCTTTACAGGAGACAAAACCAACAAAAAGAACAAAAACAAGAGCTCCTTCTGTGAGAGGAAAGGCATGCGAAAACAAAAACACGGTGACCAGAGAACACGACTTCCCTGTTTTTAAAAAAATCACTTCCTCCTTTATCTCACCCCACGGTAGCTTCCGGGTCCTCAGCTGCTGAAGTCGGCTGACTCCCTGGCAGGTCCAAAGGAAACTCCAATCCCCCAAACCCCGAGAGGCGGTCCAGAAATGCACGCGTGGGCTCAACCTGGACTATGGGAGGATCTCTGGCAGCTAATAAAAGCCAGCATTCCTCAGGAACTTGTGCACCGGGTTCCCCTCTACCAAAAAGAGTTTCTTCCCTTGTCACGGGCAGAGGGACAGATGGCTGTCTGTGGTGCACACCAGATCGCTCCTTCAGGATCTCAAGGACCAGTCAGTACCTGTTCTGTATTTCAGAGTTCATGCTAGCTTCCTAGCCCTTCTCACCTGCTCCCCTCCCTGAACTCCCCCAGCTCATGGGCTCCCTCCCCACAGCTACTCAATCTCCTCTCCTTATAATTCTCAATGTGTTCTCTCTCTCTCTCTCTCTCTCTCTCTCTCTCTCTCTCTCTCTCTCTCTCTGTCTCTGTCTCTGTCTCTGTCTCTCGATAGCCCTGATCATGTTCAATCTATTTCTTTCTCTCTCTGCTCTGGACTCTTCCAGATGCTTCTGCCTGTTCTGCCTCTCTCTCATCTACAACAAAAACCTTCTTCCAGGCAGAGGTGGTGGCACACCTTTAATCTGAGCTTTTAGGAGGCAGAGGCAGGTGGATCCCAGTGAGTTCAAGGTCAGCCTGGTCTACACGAGAGAGAGAGAGAGAGAGAGAGAGAGAGAGAGAGAGAGAGAGAGAGAGAGAGAGAGATCCAGGACAGCAATAAAAATAAATAAATAAATAAATGAAGAAGAAGCAAAACAAAACCCTTTCCTTTAACCATACCAATCATGTGTCACCAGAACCAAGCAGTTTTGCCCAGTCTCCAAGCATGAGGATGGGCTGTTTGTCCCCCACAGGGAGGTCCAGGGCCCTGTGGACTGCTGCAGGCTCAATAAGCCACACTGAAATGGCCTTCTTGGGTGGGCAGGGTGGTTTAGGAGAGCCCTGTGTTGTCATTAAAAAACAAAACCAAACCACAAAAAACTGCAGCAAAGAGAAGTGACATCATGCACAATGGCTCACATAGGAGATTATTGGAAGAGGGGAGAGAGAGAGGGGGCAGAGGGGCGGTGGGGAGGTAGAGACTTGGTCGTTGGGGACAAGAATGTAGGAAGAGAAATGGAGAGAGGGAGAGGGAGAGGAGGGGGAGGGGGAGAGGGAGGGAGAGACAGGAGGTGGGCAAAGCCCATCTTTTGAAGGGGAACACAGCAAATGTGTGCACGGGCTGTGCTCTTAGTGGCTGCAGCTGAGGACGGATCCTGTGAGGACCCCAAGGGCAGGCCAGTACAGACGCCCGAATATGAACACTCTGAAATGGTAAGGTCAGCACCCCATCTTCCCACGTGCTCAAGTCTCTTCCAGCTGAGGAAAAAACCAAAAGGAATTTGTGGTCAAGGCGGAATGTGGTGATGCACACTTTCAATTGCTCAGGAGGCAGAGGCAGGTGGATCTTGGGGAATTCCAGGTCAGTCAGAGATCCTTAGTGAGGAGAGGGGGCCGGAGCGATGGCTCAGCGGCTCAAGCACTGGCTGCTCTTCCAGAGGACTGGGGTTCGATTTCCAGTTCATATGGAGCTGTAACTCCAGCTCCAGGGCACCTGGCATCCTCCTGTCACCTCTGCATGCATGTGATGCACAGATACGAGGCAAAACACTCACACATAAAAGACAATCTTGTTTTGTTTTGTTTTGTTTTTTTAAAGTCAGGGTTTCTCTGTGTAGCCCTGGCTGTCTGTCCTGGAACTCTCTCTTTAGACCAGGCTGGTTTCAAACTCGGAGATCCGCCTGTCTTTGCCTCCCTAGTACTGGGATTAAAGGCATGCAAAACCACACCTGGCTAATATTTTTAATGAGATAATTTTTAATAAAAAAGAAATGCTCCTCTCAGGAACTTTCAGAGTATGGGCCAGGAATCTCAGGGGGTCCTCAAAGCGTCTCAGGAAATTTATGAAGCATTTTCCCCCCCGTTTCAACAGGGATGTAATGGAGTTCTCCACAAGCTACATGCGATGAGATTTTGTGACAGAGTGGACGCAGAGATAGGTCAGATGCCTCCCACAGCCTTAGTTACTGTCTGCTTCTCTCTCCTTGCAGCTGCCAGAGTTCCTGAGATGTCTGTGCCCCCTGCGCATCCTCACCAATGCTCCATTCCTGAGCTTCCTCCCACCGAGGCCCCTGAAACCCCTCAGTGTAGAGGGGAGACTTTGAGGGGAAATGGAGTCTCCATTTAATCTGCGTGTCTTCAGTTCTTTGCTCTACTTCCTCCAACCTAGCACCAAGCTCTGGTCTCACCCCTGCTCTCAGATCCATTCTTGTCCGTGTGGCTGCCTTGGCTCATGCCACTTTTACCTCCAGCCAGCAGCTTTCCCTCCCTGCGATCTGACCAGCCAGTCAGTGTTTCTTACCCGCATCCCTTTCCTGCTCACGCTCTGCCAGGGCCCTCCACTGACTCAGGAGGCATGCACAGCCACAGCCTGGCACAATTCACCTCTCTGGCCAGCCTCTGGGCTGCCACCTGTCTGCCCCCATGTTCCCTCTGTGTGCTAGCTCATCTGACCTTGTCTCCCCCTCAGGCACACAGTGTTCCCTGAATCGCTATCCCCAGGGGTTCTTTTTGGAGCTCCCTCACCCAGTCAAGCTTCCCTGACTGTCCACTGACTTGTTTAGGGACCTGTTTAAGTGGTCACATTTCATGTAGAATTGTCACTACCAGTTCTAGACTCCGAGTTCCTTGAGGGGGACTCCTTTAAGCTGCATTCCCAACATGTCTAGAACTGTGTGTGACACGTGGCTTGAAGAACGATAGCTTTAGCATAAGTAGTAAGGGGTAAACCGCAACCTCCATCACTCTGGAGTCTGAGGCAGAGGGGTTGCAAGTTCAAGGCCTGCCTGACCTACATTGTGAGTTCAAGACCAGCTTGGGCAGCTTACTAAAATCCTGTTTCAAAGCAAAAGATAAAAAAGCCTAAGGATGTGGTTCAGTGGTAGAGTACTTGTCTAGTATATAAAAGGGCCTGTGTTCACTTTCCAGTACCCCCACCAAAATAACAAAAAAAACATGGCGGTCCATGTGAGCTGACACGCAGCCTTCTCCACTCCTTCTTGCTGCCTTCTAATCCAGGGCAAGCAGAGCTGGAGTCTGCCTTGCCCCAGGGGACCCAGGGAATGGATGCCAAGAGCTCGCTGACACCAACTGCCTCCTGTAGTGTCGTCCTGATCAGGTTCCCAGAAGAACCTGGCTATAGTCCACACTGTTCCCATCAATGGCCAAGACATAAGGCCATCAAAACATAGGCACACAACTCAGTATGGCATTCTTCCCAGGCATTCTGGTCAGAGATGACCCTGCTGGGGACACCCAGACCAGTCAGGGCACTGGCCACAAAAGCAGTAGCAACACACACCACCCACCCAACTTGTCCCCATCCACCATTTATAGATAGCATCCCCTAAAGAGATAGTTTAGAGCCAGGTGGTGGTGGTGGCACACGCCTTTAGTCCCAGCACCTGGGAAGCAGAGGCAGATGGATCTCTGAGTTCCAGGACAGCTGGGGCTACACAGAGAAACCCTGTCTTGGAAAAAGGGGGAGAGAGAGAGAGAGAGAGAGAGAGAGAGAGAGAGAGAGAGAGAGAGAGAGAGAGAGAGAGAGAGCGCGCACACGTGCCCTTGTGCAGCAACTCTAAGGCTGAGCACTTTCCTCCCTGGCACTGGGCAGTGAGGGGAGGGACTAGATTGGACTCACACTCTTGCTGCAAAGGCCACTCATCTAGGAGTGGCTCTAGGGGGACATTCACTTCTAGTCAGGCTGGATCTTGGAGCTGGGACCTGTCCCAGGAGTCAGGGGATGAGAAGGGACATGCAGAGGGTAAACAAGGAGTGGAAAAAGGACCACTGTGGCTGAGTCTTGACAAGTCAGATCAGAAGGGCCAGCCAACACTGCGTCCCCAGAAGACTGGGAACAAAGGATCAGTTCCAGGCCAAGGCACCTTCTCTAGGCATTGCTCAGAAGCTATCATCCTCATACCCCAGTCCAGGCACCCCTCAATAAGTAGCCATGATCTGAAGGGGCTTTCAGTAAGAGAGAGTGGCTGGCCCTAAAGATGAAGGAAAGTCTAGTGTGAGCGCCAAGCAAACCATCCTCCTTGGGACAGCTGGGGAGCATGGAGGACAGGGTCCCGGGGCAGGGGCAAGCTTGCTGCTCCCAGGCTGGCAGGCAGAGCTCTAGCATCTGTGTACACAAAGCCCTGGAAACAGTGGCACCTGGTCTCTCTGCCCAGGTGCCAGGAGACGGCAGAGGAGAGGGAGCCTTGTCCCTCCCCATGCTCACTCACCCAAGCCCCACACAAAGACGGAACACATTCTGGCAAAGGGAATTAAAGATTGTTTATGATAATAGTGTAGGACAGACTGAGAGGGGATGAGGACCTGTAGTGATGTTTCCACAGGTCTACCAGTGATCCGGACAGACAGAAGGACAGGGGAATGAAACTGAACGGGAAAAGAGGCCCAGTCCGAGCAGCTGTGTCTATGCGTAGGTTCCAGCGTTGCCCCGGTTCCCAGGCAGTGAAGAGGGATGCTGGACCTTGGTCCTTGAAGGGCTCCCACTCCTGGTTCTCTGCTGCCCCTCATCCGGCAGGCTGGGAACTTGGGGAGGTGACATTTCCAGGGCTGGGGATAGTTAGTCTGAGAGAACAGAGAATCAAGGCTCTTGGAGGCTCCCTGGGGATGTGGAGGAGGCCTGGGCGGTATGGAATTAGCAGCAGCAACAGGGGGATTCTGGTCAGGCACCAGAGGACTAGGGCAGAGCCACCGCACAGCAGGGCCCACGTCCAGGGCAGGCCCCCCACCTGCCCTGCCCACCACACCAACATGGTGCAATAAATAAAAGATTCAAGTAGTAAAGTCAGCATCAATCCAGAAGAGTCCGAAGCTAGCAGACAGGCAGGGGCCAGAAGACACAAAGTCCCCAGTCACCCGCCCTGCCTTCTCATATTTCTCTAGCTCCATCCAGTCTGTCTCCAGTGCTACATGTTGATGTTCACCACGCGGACACTCCCTGCTGGGACTCGGAGTCTCAAACCAGTGCCAGAGCCTGCTCGGTGAGGTAAGAGCAGGGCAACATTGTTCCTACGGCGTCCACAATGGCTTCCAGGTGCGCATCCTGCGCCTGAGGCCCACAGAGCTGCATGAAGTCTGCCAGACGCAGTAAGTACTCAAGGTTGTGGCCAGAGAAGCCTCGGCAGGAAAGAATCTGTGTGGCAATGACCTCTTCTGGAGCAGGGCCCAGGTAGCCAGGGTTCTGTGGAGTGGCCACATAGGCCAGGGCTGTGAGGGGTTGGTCAGGGGTGTCTTGAGGATAGAAGGTGACTTCCTTAGTGTCGTAGCCTCCAAGTACCGCTTCCCTTACGTTCAGGTACTTCAGGGCCTCCTTTACCTGCTCCCCTCGAACCTCATATGCCACGCCCCAAGTGCAGCCCTAGGAGAAAGCAGAGACACTTCCAGTCAGTCACACCGTCCACTGCTGGTCCCTCCTTCACTCCAGAATGTTACCCCAGACACGCTCCACACTGGGCTCTATAAATGAGAAGGGGGAGTGGGGAGATGGCTCTGGCTCAAGGGGTAGGGAGCTTGCTACCATGCCTGATGACCTGACAACCTAAATTCAGTCCTGGGACGTACATGGTGAAACGAAAGGATTTACCTCCACAGGTGACCTAAGCAGGTGCATACAAGCACGCATGCAGATAAACAATTTTTAAAATTATGTGTATGAGTATTTTGCCTGCATGTAGGTTTGTGAGCCATATGTGTGCCTGGTGACCTCAGAGGCCAGAAGAGGCCAGATTCCCTGGAACTGGAGTTACAGATTGTGAGCAACCGTGTAGGTGCTGGGAACCAAATCCAGGTCCTTTGGAAAAGCAGGAAGTGCTTCTAACTACTGAGCCACTTCTCCATGAAATTAAAAAAATAAATAAAGTGGTTGGCTGCAGCTGAGGTACCCAGAGGCAGTATCCTCCCTCCATTTTTTTTTTTTGAGACAAAGTCTCATATAGGCTGGCCTTGTACTCACTATGTAGCCAAAAGTAACTTTGAACTCACAGATAACCACCTGTCTCTGCTTCCTGGGTGCTGGGATTATAGGCGAGAGCCTCCATGCCTGGCTGTTTCTTCTTCCTTCCTTCCTTCCTTCCTTCCTTCCTTCCTTCCTTCCTTCCTTCCTTCCTTCCTCCCTCCCTCCCTCCCTTTCTTTTCGCTAAGATTTATTGACTTATTTTATAAAAATGAATGCTCTATCTGCATGTAAAACTTGATGTGAGGGGAGGACATCAGATCCCACCACAGATGGGTGTGAGCCACCATATGGTTGCTGGGAATTGAACTCAGGACCTCTGGAAGAACAGCCAGTGTTCTTACCTGCTGAGCCATCTCTCCAGTCCCTTATTCTACCTTTCTTAAGGGTTGACATCAGTGGCCTTGCCCCAGCCAACCAGCAGGCCTATGTGTACCGTTCACCCAGGGAACTAATGAACTCTGCGCCTAAATTCAGGCTTGCAGATTTTTGCAGGTGGGGGAGGGGTGAGACAGGGTTTTTCTGTGCAACAGCTCTGGTTGTCCTAGAACTCACTTTGTAGGCCAGGCTGGCCTCAAACTCACTGAAATCCTCCTGCCTCTGCCTCCCAAGTGCTGGGATTAAAGGCGTGCACCACCACTGACTGGCTCAGGCCTGCATCTTAATAAGATCCTCAGGTGATTCTCCAAGAAGCACCGAGTTAGGCTCCACTTCCACTAACCCATAAGTGACCTTCTGCACCCTTGCATATCGGATCCTAGGACTCCCCTCTTGACTGCTCACTTACCTCACGATCTTCAAGGAGGGTCACCACTCGGCCAGGCTAGAAAGGGAAGCAAGATTTTGAAAAGAGACAAATTAGGTATTAGCACTTCCAAAAAGGGCTGTGGATGTACCTTTGTGGCAGGGTGTTTTCATATCATGCACAAGTCCAGTCTCCAGCAGCGCACCTACACGCGAGCGCGCACACACACGCATATACACACACACACACACACACACACCATGCACGTGTGCAGACGTACACACACACACACACACACACACACACACACACACACCTGAGCTTTAATCCTGTTGTGACTTGAGCCTGTGATATGCTCCAGAGCTTTGAGAGGGAGGGGGTTTGCCATAAGTTTGAAGCTACATAGCAAGAAGTAGGCAAGAAAGAGGAGGAAGAGGAAGACGAGGAGGAAACGGAGGAAGAAGAAATAATTACATTTGTCAACAGCCAAAAGTGCCGGCCCAAGAAAACCAGCCTACAAATCACAATCCTAGAGAACCTAGGTTACAATAAGGACCGTAAGAGAGACATACATAGATCTAATCTACATGGGAAGTAGAAAAGGACAAGATCTCCTGAGTAAATTGGGAGCATGGGAACCTTGGGAGAGGGATGAAGGGGAGGGGAGCAGAGAAAAATGTAGACCTCAATAAAAAAAGTGCCGGCCCAAACCCCCCCAACCTCAGAGGGCGCCATTCATGCAGTGACAAGGACAGGGAGTGCTGGGCAGACGCAGAAGAAACAAACAGCGGGTGGCCGGACTGGTAATCAACCCAAGAATCCACAGGTGCAAACACCAAGCTCACACACAAACACCCCAGGCATACAAATTTAAACCACAAACCAGGCTTACACATCTCCTTCAGTTAGCCCAAAGTCCCTGACATTACAGGACATGGGCGCCCACTCTCCTGCCGACCCCACCTCACTCCTCTAGTCACAGTAGGATGGATGCTCACCATCTTATCGCTGCCCCTATGGAAGGTGTCTCCCTGCCAGAACCGGCGGCTGTAGCCACGTACAAAGCCCACGCGGCTGTCGCTGTAGGCAAAATCCGGCTTCCACACTAGGGAGCCGTACCCGAAAATCCACAGGGCTTGGGGGTCGCCATCCTCCCAGGAGGGCTGCGCGGATGGTGCAGGCGACAGTGAGGGAGGCGGGGTGCTCTGGGCTGCGGACTCCTGCTTCATGGTGCCGGGCGCAGGGACGGGCCCAGGCGGCCTCCGGGGCTGGTCTCCGGCACGGGCACGGAAAGACCGACGGACGCGTACACCTGGCCTGGCACCGATCGGACGCTCCAGCTGAGTGGCACCCCCAGAGGCGCTCTTTAAACCCTTCGGCCGGGAGGGACCTCCAGCTGCCTCCAGCTGTCTCGGTGATTGGGGCGGGGCAAATCCCCTTTTGGCCAATCACGTTTGGCTTTTGCTTCTCGGTTAACCGCACCGCCCTCCAAGTGGGTACCAGAGCAGCCCGCCCCCGGCCCTGCGAGCGTGCTGATTGGTTCGGCTCCTCCTCCGTGGCAGATCTGGCTGGAGTGATGCAACGGCGGGGAAGGTTTCCCCAGCACCCGCATGCAGCAAGGGCGCGTCGGATTGCGTCAGGCTGCGGGCACTGGGAACGGGCCTGGAACCATCGCGGGCACCCGCCGTCTCCCAGGGAGGCCCTCAATGACCCGGACAGTGCCTCCCCCGCAGTCCAGCCTGTGCACTTTGCAGAATCATTGGCATCCAAAGCGGTGGCCAGTGCAGGGCACGCTCAGAAAGAACGCTCTGGGAGGCACAAACTCTAGCCTCTGGGGCCTCGCCTGAAAACACGCACTGCAGAGGAGCTGTCTCTGGCGCCCTCCGCATTCCACTCTGGTGCCTCATGTTATTGCCCATGTGAGCAGTTGGAGAAACTGAGTCACGGGGTGGTAAGGGATTTTGCCAAGGCTGCAGTTGAGTCAGACTGGGTGGTACAAGCTCCAAGACCTCACGTGAGGGCTACACCCTGGGCCCAAAATGGGACCCCTGAGTTCGGCGGGTTTGAGGAAAAGCCAAAACTGAACAGCCTTGGACAGAACGGTCACTTTGAGGATGACTGCCCGCACCTGTGGTGCAAGGCCATAAAGAGAATGCGAGGCCACTTTTATCCCAAGGTTATGGGTTTCATTTTCCTGGGCTTGGGGTCTTGCAGCAGCGGCTAATATGTGTAGGCACCGAGGTTTGGGGGGATGTTGACTAAAGAGAACACAGAGGATTGAGGGCAGCTGCAGCCTTCTCGCCTTTCATCTTGCCTGGTAGTGTGTTTGGGCCCTGGCACCAATGTGGGCACCGGGCACCAGCTGTCTCCCTGGCAGTTCCTCTCTGTACTGAACCCTGCAAGAGCCACCGCAGGCGGGTCTTCCCAGCATCCCGCCCTTGCTGCACCTGGCCTCTGCCACCCCAAACTGTAGGCTGGAGGGGAGAGAGAGCTTGACCTAAGCAGCAGCAAGATGCTGCCCCTTTGGGAAGGGAAACAGCAGAAGGCCTTCCACTTGAAGGAACTGGTGTGAGCTCTCGGGCAGTGGAAACTGTCAGCGAGTCTAATCCCAACATTACGTAAAATGGATTGATTTATTCCAAAGTGTCTAAGTATTAATCCCAGCTTTCAGGAGGATGAGGACAGAGACCTAGAGATTTAGGCCAGCATGGGCTACAAAGCAAGACTCTGTCTCTAAATGTATGGATGAAGAGAGTGTAAATATTCTTTTGTTTGTTTGTTTTTCAAGACAGGGTTTCTCTGTAGCTTTTGGAGCCTATTCTGGAACAAGCTCTTGTAGACCAGGCTGGCCTCAAACTCGCAGCGATCTGCCTGCCTCTGCCTCCCGAGAGCTGGGATTAAAGGCACCTGCTACCACTGTGCGGCTCAAGAGTGCAAATATTCTTAAAACTGGAGGAAATTTTGATTACTCTGGTAGCAGTGGAAATAGGATATGGATCCATACCTTTGCTATATGCTTGCTCCAGGTCTGGGTCACCTATGAGGATCACACATGACTTTTCTGAGTGGAAAATCATCTAGAAAAATGGTGGTTATCTGGTAATTTTCCTCTTTGCTGACACTCTGTGTTTTTTCTCCCCTCTCTTCCTTATCTGCTCTGTGTGTTCATCTTAGTACCTGCTTTGCTGCTGCTTCTTACAGAAAATAGTCTTTGGTGGGAGATGGGAAACCAGTGCACTCCTGAAAATATCTGATACAAACGACCCTGCAATCCACTCTTTCCGCTTCAGGGAATTCTTCACAATATGAAAAAAAATCATATGCCTGAAATTTTAATGGTATTTGTGGTAGCAAAAGCAAAGAAAGAAATCCTTAAATACCTAAAAATAGCTAAATATTGAAGTAAATTGTGGTCAGTGCACATGATAGAGGAATGAACACATAGAGAACAAGACACACTCAGCAAACAAGTATCATCCACATACAGTAACGGAGCTGATACACCCAGCTACAGCCGTGAAGCCATTAGATACGATTCTTTTGATTTTGTTGTTTTGTTTGGTTTTTTTTGTTTGTTTGTTTTTTGAGACAGGCTTTCTCTGTAGCTTTGGAGCCTGTCCAGGCTGACCTTGAACTCACAGAGATCCGCCTGCCTCCACCTCCCAAGCCCTGAGATTAAAGGCATGAGCTGCCACCACCTGATTAAACAAGATTCTATATGGCTGTGCTTACTGGTATTGAAACATTAACATGACATATAGTTATATGAAAAACAGATTGTACAATAACCAGATATAACTTTTTCAACTTATAAAAGACTGAGGTAAAGCCGAGCGGTGGTGGTGCACGCCTTCAATCCCAGCACTTGTGAGGCAGAGGCAGGTGAAGATCTGTGAGCCTGAGGCCAGCCTGGTCTACAGAGCGAGTTCCAGGAGAGCTATGGCTGTTACACAGAGAAACCTGGGCTCGGAAAAAAAAAAAAAAAAAAGACTTTTTTCAAAGAAGTCTATTTTTGACAAGGGGGACAGTTCACACCTGCAAGTTGAGACTGGAGGATCCTGAGTTCAAGGTCAGCCTGAGCAACGTTTCCCAAAACAAGGCTATTTTGACTTCATTTAAAGTCAGTACCTATTATGAAGACATTCTAGTAAAAATGCCAATGGCTGCTTAGTAAAGCAAAAATGCAGGATATGGACAGTCACGTGAGCAATAGTAAAACTCTTAAAAACAACAATAAACAGGATGCGGTGGCTCCTGACTGCAACCCCCATGGTTCCAGCACTGTGGAAGCTGAGGCAGGAGGCTTGCTACACATTTGTGACTAGTTTTGGCTACATAGTGAGTTCCAAGCAAGCCTGGGTTACAATGTGAGATCCTTTTGCAACAAATAAATAAGAGAAAGAATACCTCAATAATGGTGGAAACATCAAATACAAATGTTGAAGTGTGGGCGTTGCAGTTGAGAAATGATAAGGTTTAATGAAATGATTATCTTCACTCTATTTATTTATTTCATATGATTTGAGTAGGTGTACGTATGCAAGCACGTGTGAAGGTCACAGGGCAGCTTTTAGGACTTCCAGAGATCCAATTCAGGTCATCAAGTTCTGTGGCAAGGCCTTTTATGTACTGCTCCATCTCATCGGTCCTGAAATGTCATTTTTGTTTGGTTTTGCCTGTTGTAACAAAGTCTCGTGTATCCCAGGCTGGCCTGAGTTTGCTATGGAGATGAAGACGACCTTGAACTTCTCACTTTACTGCTTCTACACTTTGAATGCAGGATTGCTGACGTGCGTCAGCAACTCTGATTTGTGCAATTCTGGGGGGGAAGAACCAGGGTTTTGTGAATGCTGGCTCAGCGTGCTACCCACTGGGCCACACCTCCAACCTGAAGTGCAGTTTCCTTCTTTTTTCTGAGATGGAGTCTCGCCATGTAGCTATCCAAAAATAGCTAAAAGTTTGAGTAAATTATGGTCAGCTCACATGACAGAAACGAACATGCACACACAGGCACAGATGCTCCAAAAAGCTTAAACATTCAGCCATAGATGTAACACAAAATTGACACAGGCCATTAAATCTGTGAATCTACTGGAAACAATTCTGTGTGCCTGGATTTACTGGCATGGAAACTCAACTGTGATGTATGTAATTACATACAAAGCACATGTGTCTGAACCACCGAGGGAACACTTCCGTGAGAGTCTCTTTCAGACCTCTTCCTACCCAACCAAACTGGAACCTGATCTTATCCACAGTTAGACACCCTCACTTGACGCTTGCTTCTACAACCCCTTAGGTAACATCTGGTTACCCATCGCCTGCACCTCATGTTTACACACCAGAAACAATAACTTACTGGTTATTTCCCCGTGTGCCAGACAGTTCGCTAAATACTTTTGCATCCATTCTAATTATAAACTTTACCTGGGAGGCAGATGCAGGTGTGTCTCTGGAATTTCAAGACTAGCCTGGTCTACATACTGAATTTTAGGCCAGCCAGGGCTACATAGTAAGTAAGACCTTGTCTCAAGATATATATATATATATATATATAATTATAAACTTCTCTATGCTGTGGGAAGGTAAATATAATTTCACAGATAAGTACACAGGCAAGTCAGTCCAACTCACAGTGGCATAGTTACAGATCCTGAGTCTGTAACACAGACGGCCTAGGTGCCAACCTCCTTTCATCGAAATAAGAGCTCCCCCAAAATGTATTTCTCCTTGAAGCTCCAGGGAAGTCAATATAGTAATAGAATACGGAAGGTCACCCACAAATGTAAGAACAGTGGAGGGGAGGGTTGGGGGGAGAAGGAAGAAGAGAGAGAATATATATTCTTTTTGTTGTTGTTGCTGTTGTTTTAAGACAGAGTTTCTTTGTGTAGCCTTGACTGTCCTGGGATTAGCTCTGCAAACCAGGCTAGCCTTGAACTCATAGAGATCCACTTGCCTCTGCAACTTGGGATCTGCAAGTTGAGATCAAAGGCGTGCGTCACCACCACCACTGGCAAGAATATGCCCTCTTAAACCATGCAGCGGTGGCACACACCTTTAACCCCAGCACTTAGGAGGCAGATCTCTGTGAGTTCAAGACCAACCCGGTCTACAAATTGAATTCCAGGACAGCCAGGACTGCTACACAGAGAGGCCCTGTCTCGAAAAAACAAATAAAATGCAGTGTTACCTTAAGAAAGTCAGGGTAATATCTTGCATACTAGCAACACAAATTCAACACTCTCAAAATAGAAAAGTTGACAAAAGTTGGCTAGGGGACCCAATGACTTCCTATTGCTGTCCTTGCCGGTCCCCAGTCCTTGCGTCCCTTTAAGCCACTCACTCAGCTGCCTGCTTCCTTTGACACCAGCAGCCAGCACACCTTAGTGTTCC